TTAGGGAATCCCAGGATTACCAGCTGTGCTCATGTTATGTTTTATGGTTCTGTTCATTTACAACGCTTCGCCAGCTTTCGGCATTTAAACCGCAACTTTTAAATCTACCTTTTCGTTTCTTTTTCCGTCTGTTAACATACTCGAAACAAGTAGAAATAACTTGGAAAGGAATTGTTAAGTAATAAACCTTGTTTTATAATATGCATGTCTTCAAAAACGTTTTTACATTGTTTTTTTTTTTCATTAAATAAATTTAACATTTTTTTCCAGTAAATTTCTGTGATATTTCACTTTTGTTTTTCAGCTCTAACTTCCAGAACTTCAATTTCAGAGCCCTTAATTTTTCCATTCCGTTCTTGCATTGGAAATAATCTCATTAATAATTCCACGAAATTTATTTAGTTGCTTATAGTTACAGGTGGAAATTTGTAAGTGTTTTTGAAATATTCTATACACCTGGATTAATTCATTATTATAATTAAACCTAATATGTTTTGTTTTCACTTATTTTCTAGCCATTAAAGAAAGAGAATCTCCACTTACAACAGCAAGTATTGCAGGTGGTCTCGTGCTGGTAATCATGACCGTCATCATTGTGGGTTGTATGTTGTTGAGGTATGTGTTACCTGTAATGTTTAGTGTTTGATAAAAAATCCAAGTTAAAATTAATTGATGTAACAAATTCAGAGTTTTGGAATTGAGTTCGAAACTAGCCGAATTTAAACGAAGCTGTGGTATAGCAGTCAAGATGGGATGTTCTAGGCTAGAGGTTTTAATAATATGGTGAAACGCCCATTTTTTTGTTTGGGTTATTGTTGTGCGCAAAGCTATAGAATAGGCTATCTGTTCTCTGCCCACTACGGGTGTCGAAACCCGATTTTTAACATCGTAAGCCTGCAGCGGGGGACCGTCTACTTTTAGTAGGACATAACGTCATTTCTAGTCTTTCCTAGCACTGTTTCTGGATTTGAATCTTTTGAAAGACTAGGCTTATCAATCTTAATCGTTCAAAAAAACAAACTTTGTTTCTCGAGCTTAATATTTTCAAAGAAAAGAATCGCTTTCTCTTTCTTAACCTTTCAGTATCGGTATACAACCTAATAGTTTGTTTCATCAAATGTCTTTCGTTTCGTATCTTAACGACTGTATATGTGTTTTTACAGAAGTCGTGAGTTTGTACTAGTAACGATTTGAAGGGATGTGTTAGAAAGATGAAAAGCTCGAGATATGCGATAAGCGAACTGATACATACAATTAAGTCAAATTAGCTCACTACTCTGATGAAAGAAAGTGGAATATTCAAAAGTGATATCTGACAGTCCAAAGTAAGATCGCTAGGTGGCAGGCTTTTGCACGTAGTATCGGGTTAACACTACAGGTGGCAGGCTTTTACGCGTAGTATCGGGTTAACACTACAAGTGGCAGGCTTTTGCACGTCGTATCGGGTTAACACTACAGGTGGCAGGCTTTTGCACGTCGTATCGGGTTAACACTACAGGTGGCAGGCTTTTGCACGTAGTATCGAGTTAACACTACAGGTGGCAGGCTTTTGCACGTAGTATCGGATCAACACTACAGGTGGCAGGCTTTTGCACGTCGTATCGGGTTAACACTACAGGTGGCAGGCTTTTACACGTAGTATCGAGTTAACACTACAGGTGGCAGGCAAGTTAGTTACATTTATCAGAACTGAGAAATAACCAAGTAATTAATGTAGCGAATTTGATATACTGGTCTAACTAGGAGTATAGTTATTAATAAACTATTTCGATATTAGTAAGTGTACATATATAGAGTTAAGGATATTTTACCATCTCTAAAGTAAATTTAATAAATAATTAATAGATAATATAGTGGCGAAAACCCTTACTCAAATTTTGATGTGTGGTGACATAAATAGAATTAATGAAAAATTACACTCAGCCAACTTAGTTTTTACACCACGGTAACGGTTGTTTTCAAGAAATGTGGTGACATAAATAAAATTAATGAAAAATTACACTCAGCCAACTTAGTTTTTACACCACGGTAACGGTTGTTCTCGAGAAATGTGGTGACATAAATAAAATTAATGAAAAATTACACTCAGCCAACTCAGTTTTTACACCAGGGTAACGGTTGTTCTCGAGAAATGTGGTGACATAAATAAAATTAATGAAAAATTACACTCAGCCAACTTAGTTTTTACACCACGGTAACGGTTGTTCTCAAGAAATGTGGTGACATAAATAAAATTAATGAAAAATTACACTCAGCCAACTTAGTTTTTACACCACGGTAACGGTTGTTCTCATGAAACTTGTTAATAAAAATAGCGTCTCAACCGCTACTATGTGTCTGAAGAGACCTGGTATTAGACGTCAGGCCTAATCGGCACTTGATTGAGCGTCTTATTATACACTTTTCTTTACTTTCACTAAGTAGTTCTTATTAATAATTTCACAGCAGGAGGCGACAAAGGAGGAAGAATCTGGAAAAGCACGTGCTAAGACCGTTTGTTATTCCCGTGTTACTTCCACCATCATTACCCCATACCATATCTGAAGTACGTTCTACCAACGTTTTGGTAATTTTAGTATTATCTCTGCTTCTTATTATTTTTTAAAGGGTAAATCATTTTAACATTGTGGTCGTTATTGTTACTTTTATTGTTATTTTTCAATTCATTTTTAACAACTCCGACTCTGAAGGAGAAAACGATCTTCAATTATCTGTTCTTTATATATAAAATCTACTTCAAATATTTTAAAAGTTTCTTATAGGGTAATATTCCATATTTTTTATAATTCGGAAAAATTGAAGGAAACGTGTGTTGAACTTCAATTTACTTCATCGAAATGTATTTATAATACTGAGAATTTTAAAGTAATTGACAATTGGTTTGTTTGTGAAAATTTTTACTTTAAAACCGTTTTGTTATAAGAAAGTTGAAATAAAATGGTGAATTTCTGACGTTCGTTGGATAATGAATAATAAGGTTTCTTACCTAGCATGTGTTTACACTTTTCAGAAAGATTGATAATTAATCTTGAATGTTAACTTTCAGAATAATTTAGAGCTACTGAAAGAATTTTGTTGTTAGGCCTAGGTATTACAGTAAAATACCATTCTAGAGCTACTGAAAGAATTTTGTTGTTAGGCCTAGTCATTACAGAAAAATAGCATTCTAGAACTACTGAAAGAATTTTGTTGTTAGGCCTAGTTATTACAGAAAAATACCATTCTAGAGCTACTGAAAGAATTTTGTTGTTAGGCCTAGGTATTACAGTAAAATACCATTCTGGAGCTACTGAACGAATTTTGTTGTTAGGCCTAGTCATTACAGAAAAATACCATTCTAGAGCAACTGAAAGAATTTTGTTGTTAAGCCTAGTTATTACAGTAAAATACCATTCTAGAGCTACTGAAATAATTTTGTTGTTGGGTCTAGTTATTACAGAAAAATACCATCACTTTCATTATTATTTCTCTCGACATGTGCATTTCTTTTTGCTACTAACCACATTATTACATGGGATCAACTAGCTTTAAAAAATTGAAAACAATCGTCTGTTTGTTTGTTCCAGGTTGTTGAATTAAGAAGCCCTTGCTACGTGCGCCCACAAAATACGTTGTCACCAATGTCACCGAAGTTCTACCGGGTTTCCAGAAACATTGGAGTACCTTAGGACTAACCTGACGATGAAAATAATAATTTATAAAAACACATCAGTCTACTATTTAAGACCAACAAACTTGGTTACTTGGTGACATACTGCAATGCTTAGTAACCATTGTTGAAGATAGATTCTGTGATAGTTGTTTTGCTTTGGCTACAACAACGTTTGTTATGCTGTGAGTGAACGTTTTAAACATTGTTTCGTTTCCAGAGTCTTCGCCAGCTTTTCTTATTATTTATATCGTAACGTTGTTTTTCCCCCCACAGGAAAGAGAGAGAGAAATGGGAGGGGGAGGAAGCATTGTATTTCTAAAACGTTTTTGAAACGCTAAATACCTATACTTACAAGTGGACCGTGCGTGTCTTTACAGATGACATTTTCGCACGTTTGTGTAATCCAAAATTGTCAGACCCGTCCATTCCGAGATTTCGGAGGAAGCTGATGTTGAATACACAATAGGAAGTAATGATTTTAAAAAAAAAAGCCTCTGCTTCCGTTATAAAATCATCAACTTTCGTTACAAGATTACCACTACAATAAATAACTTTGGATATAAAAATGTTTTATATAAGACCACGCTAGTTTGTTTTAATAGTTTGGAATTGTAAGATTTGATTGTTAAAGAACAATATAGCCAGATAGTTCTTATAATTGGGGTTTCTTTAAACTCCACGTGCAAGCATTAAAATACAACAAAATAGTTTTGTTGTCCAAAGGGATTGGATTGTATAAATTATTGAACATTGAGGAATCTCGTGTGTGATCCTGTTTATACACATACATTGAAATGATATACCATAGAACATCACATAGGGGAGATGGGGCCCATCATCTTTCTTACAGAACGGTAATACCCACTTCACCCCATTTGGGGAACATGCTCCCAGATAGCCCAAGTTTCCGCCTGCGTACTTCTGAGAACATTCAGTTCCAATTTCGTCCCATGACAATTTGAACATTAGACAGGGGAACATGGTCCCCCCCCATCTCCCATACAGAAGAGTAGTACCTGTGTCGCCCCCGAATACCCCAAGTTTCTGCCTGCGCACTTCTGAGAACATTCAGTTCCAATTTCGTCCCATCCCATGACAATTTGAACATTAGACAGGGGAACATGGTCCCCCCCCCCCATCTCCCATACAGAAGAGTAGTACCTGTGTCGCCCCCGAATACCCCAAGTTTCTGCCTGCGCACTTTAGACAAGCTTGATTCACTTCCAACTTCTCCCTCATTTTGCTTCAAACAGACGGTGTGTGTGTAACTACTGATGGCTTTGAGTAATTAAATACACATAGTGTGTGTGTGTGTGTAACTACTAATGGCTTTGAGTAATTAAATACACATAGTGTGTGTGTGTGTGTATGTAACTACTGATGGCTTTGAGTAATTAAATACACATAGTGTGTGTGTGTGTGTAACTACTAATGGCTTTGAGTAATTAAATACACATAGTGTGTGTGTGTGTGTAACTACTAATGGCTTTGA